CTAATCCTACCCAATACCTAAACTTAACAACTACCTTACTAACTATTAATAAGCAGCAAATTAGGAGTTTATTGGGGCAAAAGTCATAGTTAATGTTGCGTTAATAGCGAGAAATGGACCTTCGAATAAAGTGTGACCATTTTTTTTTTTGGGGGGGGGGGGTATTTTGTGGTGTTTTGTAAAATCATACACCTCAGCAACAGTAAAGACTATTCTATTTCAAATAGATGCTGTATATTTGAAAAAATTATCACTGTTTTCACAAAATTAAGCAGCGGCATTAATAATAAGAAGAAGAACATGAAGGATCATGTTACACTGAAGACTGGAGTAAAATGTCTGCTGAAAATTCAGTATTGCCATTACAACAAATTACATTTTAAAATATATTCAGATAGATCTTAAAGTTATTTGAAATAACTTTTCACAATATTGTTGTTTTTACTGTATTTTATCAAATAAATGCCTTGATGAGCATAATAGATAAATAAAAGAGATAAATAAAAAAATATTTTAAAATTGTATTGACCCCAAACATTTGAACGATAGTGTACATTCTTGGCATTCATGATCTAAGAGTGTTATAAAAACTGGCATTATATGACATTTGAAAAGAACGTTTCAGCCCATTTGGGTGTTGTTTCTGGACTTAGCCATGATTAACCACAGTTCTCTCAAAGTTTTAGTGAATTTTTTAATTATCCTGAAAGGCAGCAACAAACATGTCTTGCTGTTTTATTCTCTGCTTTACTTCCTAAAATATTTTTTGTAGCACCATTACTTTATTTGTTGGGAGGTTAAGTTGTGCAACTGACTTTCTTATGTCTAGTCAGCTACAAATGTCATTGCAAGCATGTTCCTTTATAAAAGGGAACTTTTGAGGAAATCTTTAAATAAGCACATTGTGTAATGCTGAAGTAAATACTATCATACTGGAAGGCAAGAATGTTGGATGTTTACCGAAAGCATTGTGTTTGTGTTTCCACACAAACTGTAATTTCTCCTAATTTTTTTCCCTCTACTCTGTCTCTCTTCCACCCGCAGGTAGATGAAAATCAGTCTAAACTGAAGCGTTATTCCTCTATGTCCAGTATGGACACAGCCAAGGGTGATACACAGATCACAGTGAAGCGACACGGTTCCTGTAAGTTGTTTCCACTGGAAATATGGAAAGACGAGGGCAGAAGAAGATGCACGACGGTATCTCAGTGAGAAAGAGCAGCTTGAGAAAGAAAAAGAAGCAATCAGGAAGAGTCTGCTGTCACTGCGCTCAGAAAAGAGGGCGGTGAAGGAAGAGCTGAAAAAGGCGACTGGTGAGAGAATTGACTTGTTTGAATGCTATTTAATAACATGCAAGGTGGTTTGTCACACTTTTTGCAGTATTTGGCGCCACCTGCTGGCAATATCCTCAGTAATGGGAGCTGTTCATTTGATGTGATATGTTTTGTACATGTGTGCATCAGATAAACAGCAGAAAGCCATGGAGCAGCATCTGGCCCAGCTGGAGGAAAGCTGCCGTCAGAAGGAAGCTGAGCGAGTGGACCTGGAGCTGCGACTTACGGAGGTGAAGGACAAACTGAAAAAGTCTCTGACTGGAGGAATGCTGGGGGCGCCTGTGGAAGGCAAACCCACCATTAAGGTACCTGCATTCTTGACTCTTAATATGCTTTTCCCTCAGATGAACCTGATTTTACAATGAAATTAATTCGTATCTTAATACCTGTAGGTTCCAGGCCAAAAAAAGGAAGATATTTACAATGGTGCCACTGTGCCGGTCAATTGTGCTTCTGAAATGAAGAAACGCCCCCCGTCGATATATGCATCCACCAAAGGAAATGTCATGCAGAAAGCCAAGGTATACAGTCGCATAAATATTCAATGAAATATTCAAAACCAGTGTTTGGTGTAATGCATTAACAAGTAACGTGAGTTATGTAATCAGATTACTTTTTTTCAAGTAACTAGTAAAGTAATGCATTTACAAAAAAAATATTTGAGTTACTTTTTCAAATGAGCAACACCGGTTACTTTGTTTTCCCATTTATTGACTGACAGCTCTCCTATCCCCATGTTGAGAGAAATCGGGAGTAAGTGCAGAGGCGCGTTTAAAATGTTTAAAATGTGAACATGCATTTACTCATCTCACTTGCACATGCAAACTCAGAATATGATGTGAACCTGCACTAATTAAATATGTTAAATGACAAATGTCCTTTATGTATTTAATCCCATTTTAATTAACCAGTGTCTTTGCTACTGACCTTATATGATCCAAATCAACCATAATAATAAGCAAAAATGACTTTAGAAAAAAATTGTTTCATCGTTTCCTTTTTTAATTGCCGAAGAGTGTTGTACTTTCTTCTCCTGCATCCTATTCTTCATGCAATTCGGAATAGCAGCACAGCTGAAAGATTTGTTTGAGCGGCTCCCTCTACTTACAGATGTGAAGTTACATTTCGTTCAGCCTGAGGCCTATTCGTTTAACTTTTAATGCAAAAGGGATTTTACATTTGCCAAAAATATCACCTTTTATATTAAAAACAAACAAGTAGGCCAGCCCAGATGAGAAAAGGTTAGTAACGTAGCGCATTACTTTCCAAGTAACTAAGTATCGCATTTCGTTTTAGGGAGTAATGCATTACTTTTAAAAGTAACTTTCCCCAGCACTGTTTTAGAACTTATGGTGATGATTGAGATTTATAAATGTGATCATGTTGTATTCTGTTCTTATGTGTTATTTTAATCTTTTTTTGTTCTGTTTTATTTTTTTATTAGGAATGGGAGTCAAAGAAAGTGAAGTAATTATAAGAGGAGTCTGAAGATCTGTGGCTTTGGTTGGAGTGTTAAAGGAATAGTACACCCAAGAATAAAAGTATGCTAAACTTTTACTCTCAGACCATCCAAGACGTAGATGAGTTTGTTTCTTGATCATAACAAATTTGAGGAAATATAGCTTTACATCACTTGCTCACCAATGGATCCTTTGCAGTGAATGGGTGCCGTCAGAATGAGAGTTTCAACAGCTAATAAAAACATCACGATAATCCACAAGTAATTCACACGACTCCAGTCCATCAATTAACATCATGAGTACACAAGGGCATGAGTCCATTTTCAGCAGTTTTTATTTTTGGTTACACTATTCCTTTTTAAGCAAAGAAGAGATTGCATCTGTGATCATCCTGTCTGTCCACTACACTGCACTTATGCACGGGACAGTTGACCATATTTGAAGGTAGTCTGTAAATAAAAAGGAATGTTAAATAAAAAAATTGCATGAAGATGGCAAGGATAAGGGAATGTTCAGGAAACAAAAGTGTTTTATAAACACCTATTTGTTTAATACAACAGTTAAAATAGGTGCCTGAATTATATGAAAATTGTGTTTTGTTTTGTCTTTTCACATCTTACTGTATAATACCACAGGATACTTGTGTGGCCTTCCTGCTGACTTCTTTGTGCTGTTTTGAGATAAAGTGTTAATGTCTCTGCGTCCCTATGCACTTATACACTATGTACTTATGCACTATGTACTCAACCATGTAGTGTATGAATTATATAAGGTTATTTTGGTCTGATAGCCCCTCCCCCTTCACTACGTAATTAAAGCTGCGACAGTTGAGTGCATGTAGTGTTCAACATTCCGCACATATTTAAATGCATCATCCGGGTGTTTATAGTGCACTTTTGTTCTTTTTGGAATTTTCAGTGAACACACTACACACTATTTATACTACAAAACGTCATAGAATAGTGCATAAGTACGCGATTTGGGACGCACCTTCTCTCTTTTACATGTTATGTGAAACTGAACTGCATTCAAAGGATTTTCCCTTTTGTTAACACTAGGGCACTTAATTTACCAGATTTTATTTATTTCTATTTTGTACATAAACCAGTCTAAAGAAAATAATCATTGTTTTTTTCCTTTGCAACATCTAGGTAATTGTTCGTAATAAAAAGTGTGTTCAAAATGGCTTTGTTGGAGTTCTGTTTATTTAAACAAATGTTTTTTTTTGTTTTTTTTTTCAATTTAATCGTGAATTACACTGTAATAATGTCAACTAAAATGGGCTTTGCTTCTAAAAACTGTGAACTGAGGAAAAATTACTACAAAACGTCATAGAATAGTGCATAAGTACGCGATTTGGGACGCACCTTCTCTCTTTTACATGTTATGTGAAACTGAACTGCATTCAAAGGATTTTCCCTTTTGTTAACACTAGGGCACTTAATTTACCAGATTTTATTTATTTCTATTTTGTACATAAACCAGTCTAAAGAAAATAATCATTGTTTTTTTCCTTTGCAACATCTAGGTAATTGTTCGTAATAAAAAGTGTGTTCAAAATGGCTTTGTTGGAGTTCTGTTTATTTAAACAAATGTTTTTTTTTGTTTTTTTTTTTCAATTTAATCGTGAATTACACTGTAATAATGTCAACTAAAATGGGCTTTGCTTCTAAAAACTGTGAACTGAGGAAAAAGACATCGAGTTACCAGCATTTATGTAATATATAATCATCAATAATATATCAAGCAGATCTAGGGTATTCAACAGGGGGTCCATAGACCCCTATGGGTTCGTGCAGGGGGGAGTTTTCATTAAAAAACTAAAATAATTCACATATTTATTTCTCAACATGAATAATGCTAAGTACTGATTTCTTCATTTTTTTGTTAATGTTAGTATTTTTTTTTATACAAATAAAATTAAGCTTTATATTAGGGGGTCTTTAAGCAGGCTGGGAGTCTAGGTGGGTGGTCCTTGCCTGAGGCACAAAAGCTTTACAGCCCCCTGAAGCAGATTATCGTGTTTACTAAAACGTTCAATCAGTAAAATACAGTACAGAAGAACAAAAACACCCGTCTGAACTGATGGTTTTATAATGAAAAATACATTCGCAGTATATGCAGGATTTTAATTCTTTGCAGAAGCAGGAAGGCGCGATTCAGAGTCGTTTTAGTGAATCGACTCAGTGATTCTAAACAGTGACTCGTCGAGCAGGTCACGCGCTCCCGACCACACAAGAAGCCACTGAGGAAATGGCCGTACGCTTTCTGTCCGTAACGAGAAGATATCCCATCGATTTGTGCAGGTTAACGCCAAGTGCAGTCAACAGGTATAGCCGGAATAAAGCGTAATATTCAGACAAATGTGCTAATAAAATTAGAAAAACGGTTTTGTTAAGAGTATCGCCATTTTAACCGTTTAAAGTGTTGTGGGGTTAGCGTCGCTGCTAACTGGCTAACGGTTTAGCGGGACTCAAACCGCAATCTAACCAATAAATATAACCCAGACGAGTTTAAATTTGTTCAGAAACGACGAACACGTCGACCGTGGGTCGTTTGGTAGTTTATATCGTGTTTAAAATTGTTTAGCAAGATTGTCCATCAATCACATCTGTCAGCTTTATTAATATCACATCTGTGTTTTGCTTTAACGTTCAGTCTTTTCTTAGTTACGGGCTATTGAATGTAACAATACTATTACAACCTGTATTAAAACAGTATCAGATATCATAGTAAGTACATCGGCAAGCACTCTGGTGGATTTTCTTCTATTTAAGGGGTTGTTTAGTGTTTTCAAAACTTTACTTTCCGTTGTTTAACTCCTCAATCCTACGGCTCATTTACTTTCACAACTATAACGTTACATGTTAAACGGACTAAACGTGTAATTATTCGTGATGATGAATGGCTTTTATTGCATTCCTGTGGATTCTCTTTGTTCGAGGCACATACCGATGTAAACTGGTCAAATCAACTCTCCTATTGTCCCAAGAAAGTGCAGCCATCTGTGATTTTGGATCAAATTGAACCCACATTGAATTGATTCATTAATCAAATGATTTATCTATTTAATATTTATTAACACTTTGTGTAAAATATAATGTGTGTGGCCGCACATGACAAGATGCAACAAAACCCCATGATTTAGTCATTTGTTTGCTTGTTTTAGGTAAATTGTGAACATGTGCTAATTCATTCCCTTTTTTATTTAAGTTGTGGTTATAAAACTAAAACGGGGCTGCAAATTATTACATGCCGAACAATTTGTGGTGGCATTACAAGACAAGTACTGTAGTGTTTTTTTTGGGGGGGGGGGTATTATCCAAGTGGCCTTTTGGCTTGATCGGCCTTTACATCTATTGAATCCTACCATAAAGAACAGCAAATGTGAAGTACTAAAGATTTTTTTTTTTGTACTGGTTTCATGTAATATTAATTTGTCAATCAGATATTTTTAAGCAGAAAATGTTATAAAGAAACGTGTTACACGATTATGCTCAACACAAGGCTAAATACCACAATCCTGTAAATAGTTAATCAAATAAGTAAACAAAAAATAAAAGTTGCTCACCTTCAGGCCATCCAAGATCTAAATGAGGCAGTTTCTTCATCAGAACAGATTTGGAGAAATTTAACATCAATTTTAGCATTTTAGTTTACCACTAGCTCACCAATAGAGCACCGAAATGAAAATTCTTGGCTGAATACCGAACACAGTTTTTCACATTTTCCCCCATTTTTTTTTCACCATTGCATTAATTAAATTGCCAAAATGTGCTTTTTACTGTTTTGTCCTGCTTTTCAAATAAAAAAATAAATTACAAAACAACCATTTAAAAATATTTACTTAACACTGAACAATTTTTTTTTACGTTCTAGCAGACACTATACCAACAAAGCACAATTTAACTTAAAATTAATAAGTTGCTGAGCAGATAAGATTTCTTTTAAAACATTAGAATATATTACAGATCCCAATTTGAACACTATGTGTGAATGTTATAATAAATGTATTAATAGAGCTGTTGTAGGGTAATTATTATTATCATTATTATTGTCTTATTTTATTTTACAGAACGACAGTAAAATTACAATACTATAATTTATGAATGTTGATAGAGTTGTTGCTTTTTCTCGGCTTTTATTTTGGCAGAAACCCGTAGGAAGATCTCGGTGCTTCTTTTTGTTGACAACAGCATGCAGATTTATAAATGATTCTCATTACGAATTTAGGAAGATGTTTGTCGCACGTATCACATTGTCACATGCCTTTAAAAGAAATTCACAAAAACGTTACTGAGCAACTGACGAGTAACAAGTTCAGCGCAGATTTTCTTAACGCTTCGGACTTTGAACCCTGGTGCCGCGAGCTCGTGCAGCGCTGTCAGAATACATGCAATTCGTGTGTGCATTAGAAAATATAACATTCTGCAGTTTATTTACTAATAGTTTAAAAGGTAATTTCGCAATTTCAATCATCATACAGTAACCTAAACACCAGCATTAGCCACCTCTTCTTCTCATCGGAGACATGTGACGCAGCACTAAACAGTCTCTCGCTGTCGGTGCTTGTAATGATTTGTGTCTTTCTCTGATAGTTTTAAATGCTTTAACACTGCCGACATGTTTGCTGCATTAGTGAGTGCCTCTATTTGATTGCGTTAGTCATTGTTCGGTACATATTATTTCGGTTGCTGAATATTCAGTGCATCCCTAGATAAGAACATAATAATCCACAAGTAATCCACATGACTCCTGTTCATCAGCTACACGTAAAATTTTTTTTTTTATTTGAATCCACCTTTTTAACTCAACCCTTGGTTCTGGAAAAATTATCCATAATATTGCTTTCTCCAATGTTGTCTCCTCTGAATCAGGAGTGAAATATGCACAGATTAAGCAAAAGGACAAAAGGGGATTAACTTTCATTGGAGAATGCATTTTTTATGGTTTATAGACTTCCATTTTGGCCAGAAGGTTTAAAGGTAAAACGCCTTAATGATGCATTAGTTTCTTACTTTTTACTTAACAAGATGCTAATTATTGAACTGGAGTTATGTAAATTACTTGTGGATTATTGCAACATTTTTGTCAGCTATTTAATAATCTCATTGATGAGATTAAGCACACTTTGACCCAATCCCATTTCTACCCCTTCCCCTTTCCGCGCAGGGGAATTCACGTGCATTCACGTGAAGGGGTAGGGGTGTCTCAATTCTCTTTTGGTTGGAGGGGTAGGGGTAGGGGAAGGGCCAGATAGCCCTTCAAACAAAGATTTTTCGGGACCACACTTCAAACGAAGGGGTATGAAATGAATTATCTCAGCGTAAACCGGCTTCAGCGGCAACATGGCTGCCCGAGCAAACAAAAAGATGCATAAATGTAAGCACTTTTGGCATTAATAAAGATTTGAACAAAAAGTAATAATTTGTTTTATGTTACATTCAATCGTGAGTTCATATTTATGGTCATGTTACTTAAAGAAATGTTTGCAAAAAATCGCTAAAGTTTGCTAACGTCATATCATTACAGACTGCACGATAGTGCCACAACATTTTTTCATGTCTGATCAGGGCGATAACCACCATAGACATTGAGGGAGGCAAGTCCGCCCAATAATTAGAAATTGTTAAACCCTTTTCTCAAATATTGTCAGTTCGAGAGAGAGAGAGATGAAAGTTGCGTGTATATGCGCGTTTCTCTTTTTAGAGTGAGTTTAATTCAAAAACAGCGATTTTATCCTCTCGTTGCTGGAAAATACAATGTAGCGATTCAGTATTTGAACTGTTATTAATAGAAGTCGTTGGGCAGCGTTAACAAGTTTCTTTGCTCATGGATGTGTGAGCTGCGCGATCTCTGATGTGTGTGTCAGTAAGCAGCGCATTAATATAGAACGGTAATTAAAGGCTCTAATGCACACCAGTATAGGTGTGTGTATTATAGGAGCTAGACGACGTATGATGACGTGTGACGGTATAGTAGTGGTGTCCCAATTCTTAGGGGAATATTTTCACCCCTACCCCATGACACTCTGTTTCAAGGGACAAGGAGAAGGGGTATAAAATAGAATTGGGATTGGGCCTTTGAAGTGGGGATCACACTGAGCATTTGACAACAGTTTTCTTTTTTTCTTTCCTCCAGGTCCGTCGTAGGCCTCTTCAGCACTGCAGCGGAACATCGTAGTGCTGGTGATGACTGCCATGGTGACGATGGAGATGACGACCACAGTCACTCTGTGACGCATGTCAGGACCTTAGAGACGAGAGCTAGAAAACTGGAAGAGCAGGTTCACGACCTCACAGTAAGTTCACATTTGGTACTGTTTTATCTCTTGTCCGTCCATCAACATGGTTCCACTGTGGGTTTCCAGCCTGTGTCTGTTCTCAAACCACTCTGTGCATTTCCACTGCAAAAAGGGGGGTTCTGGGCTGGAAAGATCATTTCAACTCAAGCCCTGAAAATCTGCTGGTGGGTGGAGAAGTGCTAATACTGCCTATGGCATTCTTGAGCAATGTAATGATGCACTATTTCACTCTGAGCGAGACGTGCGAAAGAGCAAATTAATTTATACCTTCAGTTTCAATGTATCCCTTCAAAAAGAGCAGATAGCAGAGCACCAGCAGTTTACGCAATCTGCCAGTATGCTAGAATCACTTCAAGTACTGTGAACACCAAAACAGAAGTGCTGAACTGCCCGCACAAACAGCAGGTCAAGCACTGTTTGTTTTTTGACTGTTTATAGTCAGGTAAACAACACGTACCAGCATTGCATCATCATTCGTTCCTCAAGCCAAGAACGGACTCTGGCTTCAGAACGTGAACCATTCTGGTGGAAAAAGGGTATTTGTAAGTTATTGTAGCTTTGTAAGAAACCAAACACATTTATTGAAAAAAAACAACAACACTCATTTAGAGTTTAAATATATATTTATATGGTGTTCTGGAGTAAATGCAGCATTAATAAGGGATAATTATCAACTGCTTCAGTGACCCGGTCAGTATTTGGTCATTTTGAGAGCATTTTCAATGGTCAGTTTCATTGATAATGCACCATTTTAGTGAATATTAAGAATGCATCGTAAACAAATACTTTGTAATTACACAGTTTTACTTAAAGGGATAGTTCACCCAAAAATGAAACTTCTGTCATTGATTTCTCACCCTCATGTCGTTCCAAACCCGTAAGACTTCCGTTCATCTTCGGAACACAAATTAAGATTTTTGATGGAATCTGAGAGCTCTCTGACCCTGCATAGACAGCAAGGGTCTAGAAACGTAGCAAGGAGATCATTAAAATAATCCATGTGACATCAGTGGTTCAGCCGTAATTTTACGAAGCTGCGAGAATACTTTTTATGCACAAAGAAAACAAAAATAAAGATTTTATTCAATTCGTCTCCTCCGCGTCACTCTATAGCGCCATTTTGGAGAGTATCACCTATTTTGCAGAGGAGACGAGTTGTTGAATAAAAACGTTAATTTTATCTTCTTAAAATTACTGTTGAACCCCTGATGTCACATGGATTATTTTAACGATGTCCTTGCTACGTTTCTGAGCCTTGATCATGTTAGGACCCTGGCTGTCTATGGGAGGGTCAGAGAGCTCTCGGATTCCATCAAAAATATCTTAATTTGTGTTCTGAAGATGAACGAAGGTCTGTGGTGTGGAACGACATGAGGGTGAGTAATTAATGACAGAAGTTTCATTTTTGGGTAAACTATCCCTTTAATTGCTATAATTAAATTATAATGGCCATTAGTTTTAATCAGTGTTATATTTGTAATTTGGTTGTTTTTGCTTTTTTCTTACGGTAATTATTACTCACTTTTTGTTATTTTCACAGGAGCGATACAAACGAGCCCTAGCTGACTCTGACAATGTTAGAAGAAGAACACAGAAATTTGTTGAGGACGCCAAACTATTTGGTAACCTACTTTAATTTAGCTACACATTATAGCTGTTCGCATTGCATTATTAAAGCAGCATTCCATTAAACATTACGCTCCTCCTATAGGGATTCAGAGTTTCTGCCGTGACATTGTGGAGGTGGCAGACCTGTTAGAGAAGGTTGAGGAGGGAGATGGAGTACAGCAGCTGACACAATGCATGGCACACATACAGGGACGGCTGCAGGACATCTTCACCAAGCATGGACTGGAGAAGATGAGCCCTGTGGGATCCAACTACGACCCATATCAGCATGAAATAGTCTGTCATACTCCAGCAGAGGGAGTGGAGCCTGGCACCATAGCTGTGGTGAAGCAAGACGGTTACATGCTGCATGGACGTACCATTCGCCATGCCCATGTGGGTATAGCTGTGAAGACACAGGAGCAGTGACAGGACCTTAGTTCAGTCCTGTCCCGCTTAGGTTTTTTTACACTCTCTCTCTCTTAGTATGTACCTTAGATACCATTGTTCTTGCATCTCTAGACAACTACATGTTTGACTTACTCTTTGAAGTAATGGTTATATATATGCATTTATAATTTTTTCCCCCCCTAACGTGTAATCTACACAATCAGGCTTTTTTTGTTTTAGTTTTGAACTCCCCAATTTACAGAATGTCCAGTGCCCATTTAATGTTTGGAAAGATTCATTATTGTCTTTTGTGTGTTAAAGACACTACATTTGTAGTGTAATAAGAATCGTAGTGTTAAGTTGACCCGGAAAATGCACTTTACACCCTTCTCATGGTGGTTTATGTAAGTGATTAGTAGTTTTGGAGCTTAAGGGATAAATCAGTAATGACTTTTATAAGAAAGTAACACTTTTTATAATAAGATTCTATATGTTTAACACTAGTTAATGAAGTAGCTATCATGAATTAACAATGAACAGCCATGCTTACAGCATTCTCTGATCTTGAGTAATGTTAATTTAAGAATATACTGTTCATTCTACTTTATATTAGTTAGTTTTAACGTTAAACTAATGTTAATGCATAGAATGTTATTTTAACCTTACCAGAAGGTCTGACTGTTCTGTTGTGAAATGTCAAGTAAGTGTTAAAGGCCACCAGTACCCAAAACAAATGCTAAAAGATTTCTCTTTTTGAGGGGAGAATTTTCACATGCATCCAAAGTGGAATCGAACTGAATGGTATTTGGGAGATAAAATGAACATAAGTATTTATATGTATTTATTTTGTTTGTAATAGTTTTCCCTGCTAGTTTTTTTTTGTAGCCGAGAACAAAAACTGTAAGCTGTTTTCTTTAAACTAAGGTTTTTACAGTAGTATTCTTTGTAAATGTTGCAGACGATTAGTTTTGAGTGTATGTGTGCGAGGCAGACGTTTTGATTGAATAAAATCTCCTAATTTGTTCATTCTGTGCACAAGGGGTCACTGTTTACGAATGTTGCTCACAGTTAATGCCGCGTGTGAAAAACCAAACACCGGAAGTGCGGTTAGAGTTGCTGCACGTGTGTTCTCCAGCAACAGAAAAATCGCCCTCAAGTTTGTTTCACATTAAAGCGAGACATGACGAAGGTAAAGAAGGAGAAAACTGTCGAGGAGGAGACCGGAGGAACGGAGAAATCCTATCAAGAATTAATAGCTAATGTAAACCCAATCGCAAACCCGCTTGCATCGCGTAAACTAAGCAAAAAGCTCTACAAGTGCGTCAAAAAAGGTAAACGTGTTTCAAAAACTATTTTCTATAACTAAGCTGTAGCACATTCGAATCTGAATCAAATGTATTAAATCTGGCTGTTTCATCGTTGAAGAAACAGCCACGTGGTTGCAGTCAGGTATTCATTATAAATGTTCTTAATTATTTTACAAAGCGGCTAAAATCAAACAGATCCGACGAGGAGTAAAAGAGGTACAGAAATTTCTCAACAAAGGAGAGAAGGGGTAAGGCGAGGTTTCTTTTCCTCATGTTTCGGCATCATTCAGTCCACCCCACGTTAATGGTTGTTATTTGAACACATTTTCTGTCATCTTGTAGTATTGTGGTGTTAGCTGGAGACACTCTTCCCATCGAAGTGTATTGCCACTTACCAATCATGTGTGAAGACCGAAACCTGCCCTATGCTTATGTGCCATCTAAAGTTGTAAGTTCATCAGAACGCTATACTAAATATTTCTAAATCAGTGTTCCAATACTCATGTGCTTGTTTCCCCCTTCTGCAGGATTTGGGCTCATCAGCTGGATCGAAGCGTCCCACCTGTGTTATCATGGTCAAACCTCATGATGAATATAAAGAGGCCTATGATGAGTGTCTGGAGGAAGTCACGTCTCTGCCCAAACCAATCTGACGACACTTGAATGTTTTGTATTTTTTTTAAAGACGAGTGAATATATCAAATCAAGTTCGAATGGCTGTGAGTGACTTTGGATGGTGTTCATGTTCACCTGTGCATCTGTCATGTCATTTAGAGACTGAAACCAATTCTGTGGACTTCATTAGCAGAAAGAAGCACGAATGTATGATAGCAGGTAATGTGATGTTGTGTAACATAGTGGATGGAGCTGTTGTTCAGCCTGTTGTGTTTCTCAGTATTTGACACTCTTGATCTCCCTTATGCTTCATGTATTGATTGGTTTGCTTTTCATTTTTCATAACTGCTTTGGGGCAGTGGACCCCAGAGAGCTCCAAGTGATGTCAAAATAAACTTTTTCTCTTTTTTTTAAATACCGTCTCACATTATCTGGTTTCCTTGGTCTTGATAACTGGTTTTGCAATTTCTATTCATAAAGTCTGGCATGTTTAATTTTAAAATACAGTGCTATGAACTTGGAAAAATCAGATGGAATGCACAAAAATAGAATGCATTCTGCATAGAATGTCATGCGATCTGTCTGCCTGCTGTCTATTATGTTTCCTTTATGTATATATTTTGCCTACTTTGTAGATGCATTGTTTTCCTCTTATAAAAGCTAGAATAATCTGCCCATAATGCAGTACTTAAAGTCGGCTGTATAAAGGACTGAAACAAAGTTGGGCAAACTAATGGAAAGGGAGCTCTACATAACAGTGGATTTACCAACAATCCACATGGTGGCAGTATTGTCCTTCCATTCGATGTTACTTCTAGTATTAGTCTCCACCAACTCCTTTACACACTCATGACTGAAGTTCATTGTTTGTATGCTCTATATTGTATCAAAACATAATATATCTACCTCATCATTCTCATATATTTACTTAAAGCTCATGACTGTAATAGAATATAATCATAAGTAGAGTTGGGCCTCTTTGTTTGGTGAAGCAACACAGTGTGTGTTAGGTGTTGAAACTGATAAACAGACTCCACTGCTTGTCTCTTTCGTCTCTCTAGGCCCAGATTCCTGGTGCTTGTTCAGGCTGTGTTGACATCTTAAATATTTAATACTGCAATGTTCTTACTCCCATGATGTTTGTTGTTTTTTGGCACGTATTACTCCCAAATCATGTATAAAAGCACAAGAGAGGGGTTTTAGTCCCTCAGTTTGTCAAAACCTGAGAACTGGATGGTTGACGCTTCAGACTACTGCCACTGCTTCCATGATAAAGACATATAAAGACACCAGGCATGGAAGACATGGATAATACAGCTTCTTCTGCTTCACATTTCATCATTGTATTGGATTATACCTTTTCTTGTCTTTTGAGACAATTAGTCCACCAGGTCTGAGGAGGTACTTGGAGGAACGTGTGCGCTGGAAGAACAACAATGATAAACAATACTGATTTTTTTCTTTCACAGCCATTGTGGGAAATGCAAATTAATTCTGATTGGATTTTCAGAAATGTTTGGCGTTTTGGTGCCTGAGATACACACTGATGTTTATCAAAATTGTGTAATCGGACACAGGCATTGACTACTGCATATTCGTTCTTAATGGATAAAGATCTTGGCGGCAAAGAAACTGCATTAATGCATAGAGAAAAAATGGGACAAGGACATGCATATGTCCTTCCTGTGAGCCACATTCCAGGCCACGTGTTAGCCTATTTACTCCCAACAGTGGGACGGGGTCTGACGTGAGTCACCTGTGTCCAGGGGGATGGTGACACAGCCAGTGCCACGAGTTTACCAAACAAGCTTTAAAGTTCAGCCATGTTTTAGTGTACACACTTCAAAGTGTGGCCAGTGTTTAATATGGGTCCTGGAGGATAAACAACCCAAAGGAATGGAAAAATTAATTTAAGTAATTAATTATTTTTGTTACAGAGATGTGATATTGTTTGCCTGCATTGTACCACCGCTAATTGGGGTTCTTGCTAAGGTAAGCTTTACTATTGCTGTTTGAACAAACCTTAAGGCATAAGTATTAAACTTCAGCACAAAACTCATTGTATAATGGACACAAGCAGTTCCTCAAGTCATGTGAGTTGCCGAGGAGAGGTGAGCTGTTGCATTTCTATCTATGTGGCCATATTTACAATTTTCATGCAGTGGACAATAATTTTTTTTTTTTTTTACTTGAGCCATATCTAAGCAGAATATCATTGAGACTTTAGATTTGGAACACATAGCTGGAAAACAAAACAAAAAACTGAATGTCACTGAAACTTTAAAACAAAACAAAAATGTCACTGAGATCATAGATTTGAGGCACATCGCTGGAAAACATAATATTGATTGAGACTGGAAGACTGAAACGAAACAAAACAAAGTGAAATATCATTAAGATTTGAGATTTGGAGCACACTGCTGGAAAACAAACAATTGAATACTGAGTCTTTAGATGTAGAGCACCCTGCTGGAAAAACTAAACTAGACAAAACAAAAAACTGAATGTCATTGTAACTTTAAAACACAAACATAATTGAGATTTTAGATTTGTAGCGCATAGCTGGAAAATAACAAAAACAAAAAATAGAATATCATTGAGACTTTAAATGTTGAATACCCTGCTGGAAGAATGAAACGAGACTGAACACAAAACAAAACGTCAAGATTTTAGATTTGGAACACTCTGCTGGAAAACAAAACAAAACAAAAACTCTTTTAAAGTTTTAATTGAGCTTCATTAGCTGGTTTTAGAGGGATTTTAGGCACTTGTCAGCTGGACAGGTTGAAAGACCAGTTTAAACCACATAGCAACCAACCAAAACAAACTAGCAACCACATGGCAATATGCTAAAACCCACTCTGAACAACTTAGCAACCCATAGCGGCAGCCTTGCAACTACCCACAACACAATAGCATCGCATAGGTACATTTCAGTTATACATAAAGATGTTCTCACGATTATGTATTTAGATTTTTAGGATAATTAACATTTGTTCTAATGTCAAACTGTTACACAGCGCAGAAAAAAGGCACTGTGATTTTAGGCCTCGTATGAGACGGCAATAACTGAAAGACAGACTTGTCTATCATTTCTTTTCGTCTTTATCTCCCAAATCTCCACACATTTTCGTTTTCTTTTTTTTCTTCTATCATTTCTCTGTTGACATGTTTAACGTACGAAGTTGGCTGTTTGAGATGGAAATGCAGGAGGATGCAGGTCCTGGCTCATCTACTTTTCTCAGTATCTTAGCCGAAATGTCTTTTCCAGGGCTTGGCACTGTCCTTGCACATGTTTAGGGTGTCAACAATGCACCTGCTGCCTGCCGTCCCCTCTTGAACACCAGCACGCGCCGCCGTGACACCCCCTCACCTCTCACCCACTTCACCCTGCTTCACCCTGCCAGCTCTAACCGGTTCATGTCGTGTATCGTTCTTATAAATCAACATGTCAGACTCACTGCTGTTTGTACAACTGTAGCATTACTGGAACTCTAGTTCTGTGCATGTTCCTGTGTGGCCCATCTTTCCTTCCCTTCTCTCTAAAGTCCGGGACAGTTTCTATTCCAGACAGGTGCTGGTGATAAAGCAGGTGTAGCAGGAGATTTACTGATTTCAGCGTATTCTGTTGAGCAATAATTCTGAGCCTGGGGCATGAGGCAGGTAACCCTCCGACCGCCTGCACCCGAGGAGTGACAGACAAGAGTAATGCCCCACCGCAGAGAGAGAGAAATTCCATTTCCAGTTTCAATTATATTTCATATTTAGTTTCCCAATGAAATGACTACTTTCACTACCTTTCAAAATGTTGGGATTGTTAAGATTTTAGTCTCTGACACTCATTAAAGCTGCGTTCATTTGTTAAAAATGAAGTAAAATCAGTAATATTATGAAATCTTTTCTATTGTGATGTTTTGTGATGGCAAAGCTTAATAATTTGCATCAGGAATTCAGAAATCTAATATGCTGATTTGGTGCCGTAGAAACATTTCTTCTTATTATCAATGTTGACAACTGATCGAAATCACCTTTGATCCGTTTGTATAGAATATTAATGGAAGTATTAATTTCTTTAAAAAATAATAATAATAATTTTTACTAAGCCCAAACTTTTGAGCAGTAGTGTATAAGTAGGCAGTGCACATTTTCATATACAGAAATATATATCTTAAAAATTAAATACGAATATATTATATTTCCGTAATAAATGATAATATATAAAGTACATTTTATATGTATCTATAAAACATATATTTCCAACAGATTTAATATAAATGATATTATGTATGTTATGTAGAATTTGATATGTAGTTTTAATTTTAATTTATATATTATATAACCAAATTATATATAATTATTTATAATTTAATAATAATTTATTTATATTTAATTGATTTTATATATAATTGTAATATGTTTAGTAGTATATATAAAAAAGAAAAAATATAAAAGAACAGTGTTACAATTTTGCCATACTAAAGTGAATTTATGTTTATTCAAAAGTTAACATCAAATATAAGACAGTGTATATTATATTATATTATATTTACATGATAAAACATATAGCGTACATTTTAAAAACATACATTTCCAACAGATTTAATATACATTCTATTAATATGTTAAATATGTAGAATTTGATATGGAGTTTTCATTATTATTACCTTTTATTTATATATTATGAAACAAAATGATGCATAATTCATATGCATAATGCTGTAAAATATGAACATTTATTCTTCTAGAAACCACGTCTCTGCTGTCACTAAGTTGAATATTAATGAAAATATTCTACCTAAAAGTATTCAAAAAAAAGTTTCAAATTTGACTAAGCCCAATCTTTTGAAAAGTAGTTTATAGTCAGTATACATTTTCATATACAGAAATATATATATATATTATATTTACATAATAAATTCAAATATATAAAGTAAATTTTATTTGTATCTATAAAACATATATTTCCAACAGATTTAATATAAATTACTGTATATTATGTATGCTATGTAGAATTTGACATGGAGTTTTTATTTAAATTTGTATTTATATATTTTATAACAAAATGATATCAAATTAATATACATAGTACTTTAAAATACTAAAATTTATTTATATTTAATTTATTTTATATATCATTTTAATATGTTTAGTAGTATATAAAAAAGAAAAAATATGAAAGAACAGTGTTACAATTTTGCGATACTAAAGTGAATTTATTATGTTTTTTCAAAAGTTAACATTAAATATCTCAGGGACATATGGGTTTTGTGAAAGAGGTCTAACTTCTCAGTTTAAGACATAGTGTTTGCGTAGAAAACTATTAAAGGGTTGTCTGTCGTGCTTAATTGCTCATTATAGAGGCCAAAATATTTACATGAACCGTGAAGAGAGATGGATATATAATAGAA